ACAAGGTATACATTTAATCTCACCTATTATCCCATCCATCCCATCTTATCACATCTTATGCCATCAAATGTGGTATTATTTTATACCATAGCTCAAGTGGTATAAATTAGTACCGGTACAATCTCGGTACTATTTTGTCCGCGTACCAAACGAACCGTTAGAATTATAATCTACAGATTTGTTGGTATGCCCTCTTTTTTGGTTTGGTCCCTCCTGTTTTTTCTCTTTTTCCCATTTTGTTTTAATAAAACTCAACCAATTTTAGTGTCTCTTAGTTAGAAGAAAATCATAATTACATCAAATTGACCCTCATAAATCAAAGAGTTAATAAAAAGAAAAAGAAAACATGAAGTGGGCTCAAAGTTGAAGTCCATAGGGTAGTATTGGGTTTGTAAGCTTGGGCTACCACAATATTCAATATGTTGGCATTTGGCAAGCATTGGATCTCGACTTTTAACGAAGGAATTTTTATATTTCTATACACTATTTGAAACTTTATTACTCTTCCTATTCAAATTTCAATTTAATTACAATCATATATACAAATTTATCAATTATATATACTTTAGGAATTAAATAAGTATCCCTTTATATTAGGAATCAATTATTTTCCATCCTTATTCTCTCTCCCTCCTGCGCTCTCTCTCTTTCATGCTCTCTCTCTCTCCCCCCCTCTCTCTCTGTATGTATCTATCTATCTCTCAATCCCTAATTCCAGTAGTGTAAAGCAAAGGAAAAGAGAGCAACAATTCCACTATTGACAGCCATTAAAAAGCTTTGAAGCTTTGAATTCGAATTTGGGTTATCAAAAACTATTATTTGTTTGGATTGGGTGTTGTTGCAAACAATTGGGAATATTATTTGGAGTTTATATCTCAATTTTGAGGGTGTTTTGGTGAAGATTAGACTTGATTTTGATTGAATTCAGATGGAAAGAAGAAGAAGAAGAAGAAGAAGAAGAAGAAGAAGAAGAAGAAGAAGAAGAAGAAGAAGAAGAAGAAGAAGAAGAAGAAGAAGATGACGACGACGACATGACATGCATTATACTTACGAAATTGTAATAAAGTTGTAGTAAAATTGTAGAAAAATTGTATTCTATTGTTTATATATATTTTTTTATTTTAATATTGTATGAAAATTGAACAATATCGTATAAAAATTGTATTTAAGTTATATGATACTGTAGTTGTATATAACTGGGTAGAAATAATGTATGAAAATTATAAATAAGTTGTAGATAAGTTGTATAATATATAATTAGTTGTATGAAATTTATTTTTACTATGAAATCAAATACAAAATATACAAAAAATATATTATATAAAATTTGTATTTAAATGGTATGATATTGTAGTTGTATATAACTGGATAGAAATAATGTATAAAAGTTATAGATAAGTTGTAGACTATATACATTTTTACTTGGCCCGCCTTCCTTTAATGATTGACACATATAATGTATGGGGATGCTCACAAATTTGATTATCCATAAGTTTTGTGGTCCAACAAGGTAAAAAAATTGGTTTAAAAAATAAATAATAATAATAATACTGACTATGGGAGTACTTTGGATAAGTGTGGAAGGGTTTTGCAAATGTTGTATCATGGATCCTGCAGTTAGCAATAGAACAAAAATTGGCAAAGCATTTATTTAAATATTTGCTTGGTGAAACAAAGCATTCTGTTGATTTCTGTTTTACTTGTCTTAACGGGATGATTCTGGTAAGGTTAAATTTTCTTTTTCGTTCTGTTAACCATTGCCTAAATTGAAAAGATGAAACGAGTCTAAAGGGATCAAAAGAAGGAAAAGACGCCATCAACCATGAAAAGAACTCGTCTGAAAATTATTTTCCTAAAAAATTTACTGATGTGATTTTGTATCTTTTAAGTGGGGAATCGATATTTGGGAGAACTATACAAAAATGACAGAGTGGAGAAAAATAGCTTCCATGATTACGGTATATTAAGGCGGAAGAAAAATAAAGAAAGAGAAGAGGATAAAAAAAAAAGGTGTAACTAAATCCTTTGATTGAAGGCACAAATAATGAATTTAGGAGCCTTTAAGGTGAATTATATATTTATATTTTGTAACTAAAATGTGTTTAGATCGGGTGAATACCAAAATATGGACATTTTTTGTAATAAGGTTTCAAATAGTGTATAGGAATGAAAAAAATCCCTTTAAACAATTTCCCACATGTTTGTGAAGTTTTTTGCTTTCTTGTTTTGGCATCCGATACGCAGTGGCGCCGATTATTTTAGATCCACGTTGCATAGGGCGCATTAAACAGAAGCGCTCTATATAGGGGCGAAGGTCCATAGCCCTAAGGGTGGTCCCTTCGTCAAAAAATTACACTGTATATATAGATAAAATATTACTCCCTCCGGTCCACAATAAGTGACGAATTTGCTTTTGGCACACCCATTAAGAAAATACTAAATTCTATACAAAAATACCTAGTATGACTAAACTACCCTTAATTAAATATTTAATGTTAGGAGTAAGAAAACTTTTTAAGGATATGTACATAAGGATAATTTTATAAAAACAAATTGAGTTTTTTCTTGATTATATAAATGGACACTTATTTTGAACTAAAATAAAAAAGCAAATCGGTCACTTATTGTGGACCGAAGGGAGTATATTTTAATAGTATATAACATATATTGAACACTCTTTGGCGAATTTTTTATTTATTTATTTTATGTTTGAACACCCTAAGTAAAATTCCTAGCTTCGCCACTAATTCTATAAAGAGTTTTTTTATTCCCAACGCAAACTCGAGACTCTAAATAAAAAGGACGGATCATATTCTTTTCACCCACCCCTTGATAGTAAATGTTTGTGAAGTTAATCAAATGATACCTTGAGTTTGAGACTCGATCTGGCCATGAATGAAATTGTATACCTAGCTATAACCTTTTTCATGTGCCAAAAGTTTCAACCAAACAAGTTATTACGTGTAAAGAAAGGCCAAATGAATAATCTAAATTCTGTTCTTTGATATGAACCAAAAAGTTCTAGGTAGAAAAATTACAAATATGACGAGTAATTTTCAAGTTTTTTAAAATATTGGTTCGTTGAATGTAATTACAAATATGACGAGTATTTTGGTGAAAATATAAACTGATAAAAGTAGGAATTTTTACCTTCTATAACAAAAGTTAACACCTTATTATTTTAAATAAATATCATTTAAAAAATTATATTCTATAGATATCTTTTAATGTTTATAGCAAAATATTTAATTTTGGTTACCTCCTACCCTTAAAAGCCACTAAATACGCTATTCAGTTACACTATTTTTTTTCTCTCTCTATTTTGATACATGTCATTCTCTTCCCCATTCCCTAAAAACACGATACTCAATCTAAAAATTCCTCTCACCCATCTATTATAACCATTGGGCAAAAACATCATTAAATCTATACAAAACAAACCCTTAATTTAGGTTAATTTTCTGTATTCTTTGATTCTTTTAACAGAAGAAGAAGAAGAGATGCCGGTCCTAGGTTGTTGTGTAGATGTTGCTGTTGTTTCCCCTCCTCTCGGCTATGCCTTCTCTCGGGATAGCTCTCTGGTAAAGCAAATTTCTTCCTGCTTGCCAATTTTATCTATACACACTGAGAATCCCTTCTACTTCTATATTTTACAAATCCCCCGTACAAAAACAGCCATGCCCGGTCTCATCGTGAAGAAGCTTTAGGAGGACGAGTCAATGTCTGAAGATGACTATTCACCGGAAATTAGGGTTTGTTTTTTAACAAAGACGACAGAGTTTGGAGCTGAACAACTTATTTTCTGTTAATATATTTCAATGTATTTTCATGTATTCATTGTCTTTTTTTTCCATCGTAATTCAATGTATCTCGCTGTATTTCATGTATTTCATTGTATTTATGGTCTTTTTTTCCATTGTATTTCAATGTATCCCGTTGTATTCTATATGTATTTCATTGTATTCACTGTCTCGTTATATGCCATGAATGTATTCATATATTTTTTTTTAATTAATATAATTTATGTATTCAGATGTATTATATAATTTCTCTGAAGATTGCTATATTTTGGGGGTATTTTTCGGTTGAGAATCTTTTTTATAACTGAAAATACAAAATTTATGTGTTATAATTGAGTTTGTTGAGTTATATTAGGAGTCTATTATATTAATTGATTCACTTTCCGTTTAAAAACAGTGTAATCCCCTGTTTCATGCCGTGAATATAGTCGAATACAATAATCTGTCCGGTTGTAACCCCATGTTTCACATCATGAATACAGTCAAATACACTCGAATACAACAACTGATTAGTTGGACTTCCCTGATTCACGCATATTTTTGCTACTGTATTCATGAATACAGTAGCTTAAATACATTTAATACATCTTATAGCAACAGAAAACATATCTACAATCCGTAATATAGCAAATGGTATCTATAGATAGCTAATTACCACTAAACGATAGTGCTTTATGAAAATTTCTCATAAAAGTATATGAGTAGGCCACTAGTAGTATATTGTTGGAGCTATGATAAAATTCTCAAACCTCAAGGTTCGAGCAGAATAAATCTGCAAAAAGGAAATTATTCAAAAGGGCCCAACCGGGTTCGAATAGGTAACCTCTTGATCTGCAGTCAAATGCACTAACACTGAGCTACGGACACATTTGTGCAACAATCTCAAATATCAACTTTAATAACGTAAAATGAGCTATCTCTTTACTTAACTAATTGATTGATTTCATATCAATATCGCCTAGGCATATACCTCTTGAAAAATAATAATAATAATACGGAATTTCGATTTTTCAGCTCCATTTTTAAAATGGTTTGTCTAATCTGCTGGATGTAGACATTATATCATTGTTCAACTTGTAACCAAGAGCATAACTTATGGCTTCAAATTTCTCAATCTCTTCTTCGTAGGGCTGAGCTAGAAGCCCGTCGGTAGGTTCGGTCGAATTCATTAACTTTTGTTCACAACGTACTTGTGTTAAATTTTTTTTATTAAATATGTACAAATAAACATGAAAGAATGACAGTTTGAATAAATTTGCAACTATTTTATACAAAGAAGAAGGACCTTCATAAAATTGGACGATTAGAGCTCCCTAGCTGTATTAGCCTATGCAAGTATATTTTGTGCAGGATGAATTGAGCGGGCTAAATTTTTGGTTGGTCATAACTCTATGAATTGAAGTAACATTGTCACACAAGTCACAACAATAAACCATTGGGAACTCCAAAACCCTCCTCGTAATATAAAGTCCTGCAATGAAGATTTAAAAAATATTAGAAAGGAAAATTACTAATAAAAGTACTAATAATAACAATAAGGACAACAGCATATAAAGGTCGCTATTATTTAAAGCGACAAACATTTTATGAAGGAGGAAATATTAATTTAAAGGTATAGATTATTATAAAATTTGACTCTCTAATACAATCAAACATCTCTAAAATAACATCATTTGTTTGGACATTTTTGGCTGCTATATGGTGGTGCAGCCACATAAAATGAGGGGTGGTCAGTTAAGTACTTTTAATCGAAAAATTATATTGTATATATAAAAAATTATATTGCGTATATAAATCAAAAAATACTTTTTATACATATATATTAAATATTGAATACCCTTAGCGAATTTTCTGGTCTCGCCATTGCTCCTATATATAGCGAAATGTTATAGAAAATACATAATGTAACAGAAACTTAGCCGTTATAGTAAAATACTTTACAAAATAATAATTGTTATAGAGAAGTTGACTGTAATTAATTACTGAAGCAGTAATTGAAAAAGGAAAAATACCTTAGAGGAGAGATGGGATGAGGAAGCTGAAGAAGGTACAAGTCCTCTAAATCCAATTTTATAAGCAATACTTCCATCAGCTTTAAACAATCCAAAATTTCTCTCAGAAGTTGGTCCTGGTTTCTGATTTTCATTAAATAAAGCAAATACATAAGCTCTCACCACCATTTTTGGTCTATAAGGTGTCCCTTTTTTCTTTAACAACCTTTTATGCAAATTATTATTATAAGTTCTTGCATTCTTCACATTAGCACCAGCTTCATTTTCATCTCCTTTTGAAGCCCAACCAGTTTCAGAACAAATTACTGGCATTTTCTCGAATCCCGCCTTTTCCAATGCAAAATAAGCTGCATCAATCATAGCTTCAAACATATTATCATAATGCAACTTAGTTTTTGCATCATATATACCACTCGATTTCTCCAATAATGCATAGTTGAGATCAATGTGACTAGGGTCACTCTTATATGCCAAAAATGGATATGCATTTATATAAAAAGGTGACCGAATTTGACTTGAGAAATTCAAGAGTGGTATCATATAAGGAAGTATACTTTCTTTAAATACACCAGCAGATGGAGGGTAAGTATTTTCAAATACAGCTTCTGAATGAGGACTAGATACTTCAATTTTACGCGCTAAGTTCAACTTATCAAGCGCATTGTACACATTCTTAGCTGCAGGGACTAACACTTCCCAGAGTTCTACGTCCAACCCTCCAAGAATTTCATTTCCAACAGCTATGCCACGAATTAAGGTACCAGGGAGATAAGGTTGTACGTTTACTTTCACCCATTCAATAGCGTGATCTTCGTTTACACTGATGTCTTTAAGAAATTCATTGCCAAGCCCTATGATAATTTGAATTCCTGAATCTTTAAAAGCTGTTAGAACTCCATGATCTGCATCGTATATTCGAACGTTCTTTATCTTGTTTGCCCTTAGTAGTGTTACAACACTTTCTGGTGCTGGAATATTATCTGCTATTCTTCCATAGTTTATACCATATGTTCCTGTAAATGCATGTGTTACCAACACTGTCCAAAAATAAGAAATAAATATCAGTATTCGAATTGTAAAAGGAGAAAAAAACATGGTATATTAGGAAACTATGTTGAATTCTAATGCTAAATATCACATAATCATAGGCGGATGCAGTGTAGTCAGAGGCGGACCCAGAATTTGAAGGTGGCGGGGACATGAATGGATTGCTCAACCAGTGCCCCCGGAGGCACACCTATGTTTTAGTAGAGGGGTCACCGGAACCCATTAATATCAGCAAAAATTATAGATATACATGTGTATAATTTTGCCCGGAACACTTATAAATTAAAAGTCCGATGGGTGCACTGGTTGAACAATTCACTCGTATGCCCTGCTACCTTCAAATACTAGGTTCACCTCTAAATGCCCTTATCGAACTTTTGACCATAGAACTTGTACAAAATATAGGTGATTTATTAACTGGGGATAAGAAAAACAAAGAGCAGCAGAAACAATCAAACAATTACACAAAACAAAGAGAAAAAGAAGATTACCATTAAAGAGAAGAATGAAACAGAGGAATAAAGAGGAGTAAGTCATTTTTTTGAAAGGTGAGAGAAAAGTAGCATAGATAATATCTAATTGGCCATTTCCTCACTTAGTTTATATTTGTACCAAAAGAAAAATGGCAACACATTTTGGGCAACCTCTTTCATCAACAGTGATAACTTGGGATGCAATGCTTCTTCATTAGGCAATATGTCATAGTTTATAGTTCAAACCAATAAAGATTCCAAACCTTAGTCCATTTTGAAAGGCAGGGGGAAATTATGGCTTTTGGAAGACGATAATGTTATGTTCTAATGTTGTGTTGGAATTGATTCCAACCTTTTCAGATCAACCATTTCTTTTCTTTTCTTCCCCCTGGAGTAGACCCTCTCAACATGAATACCTTTATCCTAAAGTGTTCCTCCTTTATCATACGCTTTTCAAGTCCCTTTCGCTGATTTGTAAACTGTTTGGCCAAAAAATATAGATCTTTGATTAAACCAATTAAATATATATATTGAGGGGTTAAACCTAGTTAATAATAATAACTTCAGATCTACAACCGATTAATGCGAATGATGTAGAATAGTGTTAAAAGAAGATTAAATGTAATGTGCATTTAATGTATTAAGACCATTAATGAGGATGAAATGTCAAGCAATAAATAACAATAAATGGCACTAGAGTAAATAAGGAGAAGGCTTAACCCAATATTGAATGAGGTGGATGATTCCTCCTTCTCCTTCAATATTGGGTTAAACCTTCTCCTTATTGGCTAGTTACAGATCTCTGATGGAAAAGGTATGTAATAATAGACAATCGAATCTCTTTAGAAAGATAATGTTTGTATTCTATTTAGAGAGAAAATTTGCTTTTCAAAGAGTGTTTTTATCAGAGAATATTACATGACTATCACCTGATCTCTCTTTCTATTTATAAGGGACATACCCCCCCTCCGCTTATCGAGATCTGTAACTAGCCAAAAAAAATGCAAAACCCCCTACTCACTTGTACATACAGATCTAACATTGCAAGTAACGGAGAAGAAAGGATGAAGGCAGTGGCCGATCTCACCACCAACCTCCTAAACACAATCAATGAGTTTTCTGAAACGGAGGGTGAAGATGTAATGCCAAATGCCTCTCACAGGCGAAGTGGCTCACCCATCCCTCATGGTAGCATCACAATGTCCCACGGTAAAGGTGTTTCCAGGTCCACAACGGAAGAGGCACCACCAGTAGTGAAGAAACTACTTGAGGCTTGACTAACAAACACGCTGACCAACATCCTCAACAAGCCCGCCTAAAAAGCAATTAGAGAAAATGCGAGGACTTGCGTTGCGCCAATGACGGCCGAGCAATATAGCCCTCTCCCTCCAATAACAAGTATCACTCACAATATTAATAATGCAGGTGACGATACCCTCATGGCCATTCTGAGAAAGATGGAAGAAATGAAAAACGAAAACAAAATGCTTCAAGACCAAATGAAAGAGCAACAAGATAGGGTAGACAAAATATCGGGTTCCCCAAAACTCTTACCAAAAAGAGATACTGGTCGATTCGTGGAACAACCCTACAGTGATGAAGCCGCCCCGCATACCATACCCAAAACCTTCAAAATGCCGCCCCACCTAAAAATATATGACGGTACGACTGACCCTAAAGATCATGTGACTCACTACGTCACCGCGGTAAAGGGCAACGATCTCGCCAAAGAACAAGTATCCTCCATCCTATTGAAAAAGTTTGGCAAAACCCTCATCGGAGGCGCATTAACTTGGTATACACAGCTTCCCGCGTGCTCCATTGAAACATTCGAAGAGATGGACGATAAGTTCGTAACGGCCCATGCCGAAGCGAAAGAGGCGGAAGCAAGAGTGAACACATCAAGCAAGCACCTGGATAGGGACTGAGGGATTTCCTCACTCGATTCAACCATGTAAGGATGACATTACCAAATGTATCAGAAGGCATGGCTGTAGCAGCTATCCAAAATGGGCATAACAGAAACGGTTTGAGGGCGACCAGAAAGTTGTTGAGTCGGCTTATGAAATATCTCCTAATCACTTGGGATGAAATACACAATGCCTATTGTGCCGAAGTCCATGCTGACGAAGACGAATTGCATGGGCCGATCCAACGGTTGACCTCGGTACAAGCCGAGTCCAGGAAAGACCGAAGAAACGATGCCAAAAGAGATCCAACAGCCCTACGACCCAATTGAGAAAGGCATCAATTATATATTTGGGATGTCGTCTGATCTCATCCAAGTCACACCTATCGCGCCCCATTTTTCCTCACGGAGTCCGGGTTTCGACATCTCTTTGGGCCAACTCCTTCCTTTTGGAAATTGGGTATGGAATTTGAAGAGTCACCACTTAACGGATTTAAGGTGCGTTAGGGCACCTAAAGCAAATAACTCATAAACTGGTTTGCATTACCAGAGATTGGGTAAGGGCTCAAAATAACCTTGAGGAGAAGGTATTAGGAACCCTTCGAGGTCCACAATGGTGGGTCTCGACCAAACTTGAATTAGGTGAATTAGTCTTATAAACAAACAAAGCAATTTAGACAAATAGATATTACGTTTAAAACAAGGGGTAGAAGGGGTCCTAGATTTTTTAGCCTATAGGATCACTTCTGTGCAATACTTGGTAATCGTCCCCAAGTTGGGGTGCTACACATAGCATTAGCGCACATGTCATCATATCCTTTACTACCTGATTACCCTCCCCTTAGTGGTTATATAAGCGATTCTAATTAAACATACTCTATGCGTGCATTACCCATCCCTTACTTATGGTCCTGGAGGTGTTTAGGACTTCTAGTTAAGGTGGATCTCTCTTATAGTGCTTTAAAAGGAGAAAATCTAAGCGACAAGCAAAACAAATAGCACTGTCAGATAAAGGAACAATTAAAGGCTCATATTTTACCTCCACAAATAAGCAGGCAATTGCACGTCTCAAACAACAGTATTTCAGACACTTTGAAAGTCCTATAGCAGGATATCTAGGTGAGCACAAAGCAGAACATATGCAGTATTTTATTAAAGCGAGGCAGAAGGTACTTAATCAGTTGCCTACTGATTTTAGGACTAGCTGAATCTGGGCAGTTCACAAACAAAGCACAGTTTTATAATTTCATGATTTTAGTCGTCCTATAGGCTTGCCTAGGCGTGGAACAGAGATGTCCTATAAACATGATATATAATCGTTAACCAGAATCGCAATAAACCAGTAAACGGTTTTAAGCAGGCAGTTTGGTTCATTAGGTCCTATAGGCATGCTATCTAGGTGCTGAAAAATAATCACAAATGTTACAGAACTAGTTTTATATATAAGCCTGATATCTAGGTGTTGGGACTGCTTTTATACGTATTTCCTATAGGCATGATTGCTACTGAAGAAATTGATTTTTTATACGATTGGACTGCAAATATGATATCAAAGTGAGTGCAATAAAATGTCCTAAAACATGGTTTCTAATGCACATAGGAGGATTTATGAACCCGATTGTTGAGACTTAATTAACAACAACCTAGAGACAGGATTTCTAGCGCGGATGCGAATATGCATAAATATAAATTTAGATCAAATACATGATGAACCTATAAGCATGTTTTCTAGTGCACATAACAACCTATATGCATGGTTTCTAATCCAGGTAGATAATTATAACAGTCCTAAGAGCATGATTTCTACCTGATTTCCCCACAAAACATATATAAAAGTCCCTCATGTTTTACTAATGTCCCCAATATCTGTTTTAACAAGAATTGTTATTACAGTCCAAAAATGAATGAATTACAGAAGTGAGACTGCTAAAACTATAGGGAGCCTGGATAGGCCCAAAAAGTAAACCTGGAAAAATCAGGCCTTCAACCAAGTATGAACATGCCAATATTCTCATAGTGCACCCAATGGTATCCTTGTGTGTCAAAGTTCCCAAGGGCCTTAGGGACCCCGTGCAATGCTCACACCAGAAAACCTTTAAAGAACCACTTTGTGAGCAAGTTTGGAGAGCCAGTCCCAGTGTGTCAAAGTTCAGAGGAGTCTCATGGACCCCTAGGCAATGCTCACACTAGAGAGGTAGGACCCTAGATGTTCTAAGAGTAGCAGTTGAAAACAGGAGATAGTTTTAATAAAAAATTGTTTTGGAATTTTCAGGAGGTATGGAGCAAACAGAGTCATTTCAACATTTGAGATTCAAACAAGGATTACATCAATCAAATAGTAGGCAGAAACAAGATCACCTCAAGAAAAGTTTCAACTTAGTTTATTAGCTGTTACTAGGTGGGTATATGGACAGACACTAAATAAAGACATGGCATGCTGGGATCAATTAGACAGTCATATACAAAGTGGTAGCCGGATTTGGAGCATGGAAATTACTAGTTTGCTAGGGGGTGATCACTTAAAACAGGGTAGGAAACATGCCAGTTGAGAAATAAGTAGACATAGTTCTAATTTACATATAAGCAAACATGTAGACATGCTGAAATCAGGAAACATATAGGTTAAACAGAAGTAGACATACTGATTACAGGAAACACATAGGTTAAACAAAAGTAGACATGCTAATTAGGAACAATAGTCATAAAGCACAGGGATCTAATGAGATAAAAGTAGACATGCTGATAATATGACACATAGTTTAATTGAATAGCAGTGAACATGCTGATTAGGGAAACACATAGGTTTAGTTGAATAGAAGAAAAGACATGCTAATTATAAGGAAACACATAGGTTTAATTGAATAGCAGTAGTGGAGGCATACTTGTTAAGAGATAATAATAGAAAAGTGAAGCAAACAGGGTCCAAAGGTAGAAGATTGTGATAGAGGAAGAGAGCAAGAACTTTGTGTGTCTTTCTATATCTGTGTGTGTGTGTGTTTAAGAAAAAGAGTGAGGCTTATATAGAATTCAACAGAGTAGAGTAAATAAGGTAAAGTAGTTTAAAGGTTTGCAAATAAGGCAAAGAAAGTAATCAGTTCATCAATTAGGAATGACAGGACCAATCAATAGGCAAAAATCATGGGATTGTATCCAAAAATAGCTCGGAATTGAGGTCCAAATAAGGTAGGTAATCAATTAGATTCAGAACACCAAAACTTCGGCAAGTAGCAAGGACAATTAGTCATCCGGGGTTGG